CGCTTGGGAGCGCAGCGGCGCTCCCGCCGAGGGTTCGGATCCCATATAGAGACCGGTCTGCTCACTGGTTGAGTGCGGTGCGGACGCGACACCGAGGGTTGCGATCCCGTTACCGGTCACAAAAAAAGACAAAAAGGAAGAAAAAAAAAAAGAGCCCCAGAGAGCACCAGGAGATCAGGTCCCACAGAGAATGTGGGTGACCTCTGGTCACCACCTGGGGTCCCAGTGAGGCAGGAGGAGCAGTTATTTCCAGTTTTGTTTTGGAAACAAAGTAGTTAATGAAGGCAGTGCCAAACTAGAGTAATGGGCTAGAGAATAGACAGTCAAGCACGGTTTCTGGAACATACTCGGTTATAGAATGATCACACCCTTCTAATGGGCAGGGAGCCACCAAAACCACCCCACACAGCCTCTCCCACCCCACAAGAGAGCAGACAGAGACGCTTGCTCTCTGTCTGTGAACTCGCATATCCTTCTTCCCCATGATGCCCTGGGCTCTGGCAGCAACAAAACTGAAATGAGGGGGCTTGGCCTGCCTCAGTCCCCATCTGGACTAAGGTGGATGCCAGGCTAATGGGGCAGGAGCCAAGGAAAGTTGCTGGCCTTGTCATGCTGGCTTTGAGGAGAAACAATGCTGTCTCCAGGGACAGGCCACTCCACCTGTGAGTCTGCAGAAGCAGTGGTCTGCATCCCCCCTAAAAAAAGTGAAGTTCAGCTCACTCTAGGGAAGAAGCCTCACCTCCCATGTGTCAAGTCCCTAAGCCACGAGGGCTTTGTCCACCCTCTACAGGTTTCCCAAGACAGGAACCAGCCTGAGCCACGCTTGAGTTTAAAGAGTTCAGACTAGGCATCAGGAAGGCTTGGGTGAACCCGCTGGGGCACCCTCAGGCTTCCTGCAAGTTGGAGCAGGAAATGTGCTGGGGCACTCCACTGAGGATTTTACCCTGAGCCTGGACCAACCCTTGTCTCCAAGAAGAACGTGGTAGAGTAACCCTGAAGCCCCTCCTCGGCTGAGTGATTCCAGGGGAAGCTATACCTCCCGGGCCTGAGTCTGCAAACACTGGAAACATAGAGCGAAGGGAGGCAAAGCTAAGCAGACTCTTCCAGGCAGCAGGTGTGACCCTCAGGTGTGCATCAGAATTGTCTGAAGAGCTCAGTTAAACTGCAGAAATCTAGCCCCAGAAAGTCTGAATCAGGAGGCTTAAGCCCAGGAATCTGCATTTTTAAGATGCACACCTCCTCACTCCCTGACTCTCACTTTGATAATGTCTTTTCTAGCGGTTTCCTAAGACACCCAGCAGTTAAGAGTTCAGTCTTTGGATCAAACTGGAGGATAATGCACAGCTGTGACACTATTAGCTGTGACCTTGGGAAAATCATCTAACTTCTCAGATTCGGTCTCCTCAGTTGTAAATACAGGGGTAAGATGGTATTTGTCCCATAAATAGAACAATACACATAAAGCTCTTAGCTCAAATCCTGGCTTATTTTTTTTTTCCTTTTTGTCTTTTTTCGTGTCCGGCAACGGATTGCAACCCTCAGTGTCGCGCCTGTACCGGACCGGGACCGGCAACAGGATCGCAACCCTCGGTGTTGCACCCGCACACTCAGCCAGTGAGAGGGAACCGGTCTGTATGTGGGATCCGAACCCTCGGCGGGAGCGCCACCGCACTCCCAAGTGGCACACTGTAGCAGTGCGCCACCGGGCCGGCCCTCAAATCCTGGCTTATTTTTAAATGCCAAATACATGCAGCCATTTCCGAGCCTGCCGCAGCCCAAGCCAAACCTAGAGGTGGCTGTGGAGTCCAATACCTCCTCTTCCTCATCTGGCTACTGTCACCCATGCCCCCTTTGGAGACAGCACTGGGATGTTTGGAGATATCCACGGTTCGGCCACAGATAGTGATGGGACAGCAAGGTGACAAGTGAGAGTCCTCGAAGATGAGCCCAAAGAGGACCAGAAAGGAGATGTTTTCAGAAGAAGCACTCTCTGAGGGTTTCAAACCACAAGACAGTCTGTTTATATCTATCTGCTTATCTAGGATGTTCTAAGTAAAGAGGTAAAAAGAGGAGAGATTCTTGAAATGGAATTACAAAGTCAGCAGGTTTTACTTAATTAGAATGGTATTATGTAATATTGGGAGAATTATAAGTGTAAGTAAGCATTTAATGACCCAACATGCCACTTTGTGAAGCAGAATTGCCACTGTGGGCCTGGGGTGGGGGAAAGAGTCTCTGTTATAGTCCCCAAGAATCCTTACAGACAGGCTAGGGGGCAAGGGACACTGAGGCTGTGTATCTGGGGCCACAGGTAACCCAACGGGCTGAGTTGCAGAGCTGCAAGAGGCAAGAAGCCCTACCAGAAAGAAGTAGCCAACTGTTCTTCACCAGTTACGTCCTATGGGATGCAGGTAGACTGTGTTTGCACTGTGTGGCCCTAAGGATGTGCCTATCAGTAGGCAAGGCCTCCTGCGGGACCTTCTGCTCCCTTCCTCCTTTATACAGAAGCCCTTGCTCCTAAACCAGTCACCCACGTGGGATCATACCCAACTGGCCATGATGCCCACCCTCACCTTCCATTTGCTACAGTAGTCAAACCCACCAGGAGGTACAGAAACTCACCAGTAAAGGTAGTAGAAAGAGGAGAGGAGATAGAAGGCCAGCTTACACCAGGCCTCCTTCTGACAGTAACTCAAGGTGTCTGCGTTCATGACCACCGGGGGGTCGTAGGCTAGTTCGGAACTATCTGCTGGACAGTGGAAATACCTGCAGAGAAAGAGGGCATGGCATCATTGGCTCTGAGGCGTGGACGGCACCTGTGAAGTCATCCAGGCTAAACCCTCCTGATGCAGGATTTCTCTCTGGCAATTCCTGCCAAGCAGTTGTCTGCGTCCTGCCCAAATCACGGTGCACACACTGCTAAAGATCGGCTCAGCCACTATCTTCTAGCAGGCAGGAGGTCCCCAAATACTCAGGTCCACTGGCATCATGGTGATTTTGCCCACATACAAAGCTGCTCCAGGGCCGGCCCAGTGGCGCACTGCTACAGTGCGCCGCTTAGGAGTGCGGCGACGCTCCCGCCGAGGGTTCGGATCCCACATACAGACCGGTTCCCGCTCACTGGCTGAGCGAGGTGTGGGCATAACACTGAGGGTTGCGGTCCCGTTGCCGGTCCCGGTCTGGTACAGGCANAGGCTTCCTGCAAGTTGGAGCAGGAAATGTGCTGGGGCACTCCACTGAGGATTTTACCCTGGGCCTGGACCAACCCTTGTCTCCAAGAAGAACGTGGTAGAGTAACCCTGAATCCCCTCCTCGGCTGAGTGATTCCAGGGGAAGCTATACCTCCCGGGCCTGAGTCTGCAAACACTGGAAACATAGAGCGAAGGGAGGCAAAGCTAAGCAGACTCTTCCAGGCAGCAGGTGTGACCCTCAGGTGTGCATCAGAATTGTCTGAAGAGCTCAGTTAAACTGCAGAAATCTAGCCCCAGAAAGTCTGAATCAGGAGGCTTAAGCCCAGGAATCTGCATTTTTAAGATGCACACCTCCTCACTCCCTGACTCTCACTTTGATAATGTCTTTTCTAGCGGTTTCCTAAGACACCCAGCAGTTAAGAGTTCAGTCTTTGGATCAAACTGGAGGATAATGCACAGCTGTGACACTATTAGCTGTGACCTTGGGAAAATCATCTAACTTCTCAGATTCGGTCTCCTCAGTTGTAAATACAGGGGTAAGATGGTATTTGTCCCATAAATAGAACAATACACATAAAGCTCTTAGCTCAAATCCTGGCTTATTTTTTTTTTCCTTTTTGTCTTTTTTCGTGTCCGGCAACGGATTGCAACCCTCAGTGTCACGCCTGTACCGGACCGGGACCGGCAACAGGATCGCAACCCTCGGTGTTGCACCCGCACACTCAGCCAGTGAGAGGGAACCGGTCTGTATGTGGGATCCGAACCCTCGGCGGGAGCGCCACCGCACTCCCAAGTGGCACACTGTAGCAGTGCGCCACCGGGCCGGCCCTCAAATCCTGGCTTATTTTTAAATGCCAAATACATGCAGCCACTTCCGAGCCTGCCGCAGCCCAAGCCAAACCTAGAGGTGGCTGTGGAGTCCAATACCTCCTCTTCCTCATCTGGCTACTGTCACCCATGCCCCCTTTGGAGACAGCACTGGGATGTTTGGAGATATCCACGGTTCGGCCACAGATAGTGATGGGACAGCAAGGTGACAAGTGAGAGTCCTCGAAGATGAGCCCAAAGAGGACCAGAAAGGAGATGTTTTCAGAAGAAGCACTCTCTGAGGGTTTCAAACCACAAGACAGTCTGTTTATATCTATCTGCTTAGCTAGGATGTTCTAAGTAAAGAGGTAAAAAGAGGAGAGATTCTTGAAATGGAATTACAAAGTCAGCAGGTTTTACTTAATTAGAATGGTATTATGTAATATTGGGAGAATTATAAGTGTAAGTAAGCATTTAATGACCCAACATGCCACTTTGTGAAGCAGAATTGCCACTGTGGGCCTGGGGTGGGGGAAAGAGTCTCTGTGGACCGGGACCGGCAACAGGATCGCAACCCTCGGTGTTGCACCCGCACACTCAGCCAGTGAGAGGGAACCGGTCTGTATGTGGGATCCGAACCCTCGGCGGGAGCGCCACCGCACTCCCAAGTGGCACACTGTAGCAGTGCGCCACCGGGCCGGCCCTCAAATCCTGGCTTATTTTTAAATGCCAAATACATGCAGCCATTTCCGAGCCTGCCGCAGCCCAAGCCAAACCTAGAGGTGGCTGTGGAGTCCAATACCTCCTCTTCCTCATCTGGCTACTGTCACCCATGCCCCCTTTGGAGACAGCACTGGGATGTTTGGAGATATCCACGGTTCGGCCACAGATAGTGATGGGACAGCAAGGTGACAAGTGAGAGTCCTCGAAGATGAGCCCAAAGAGGACCAGAAAGGAGATGTTTTCAGAAGAAGCACTCTCTGAGGGTTTCAAACCACAAGACAGTCTGTTTATATCTATCTGCTTATCTAGGATGTTCTAAGTAAAGAGGTAAAAAGAGGAGAGATTCTTGAAATGGAATTACAAAGTCAGCAGGTTTTACTTAATTAGAATGGTATTATGTAATATTGGGAGAATTATAAGTGTAAGTAAGCATTTAATGACCCAACATGCCACTTTGTGAAGCAGAATTGCCACTGTGGGCCTGGGGTGGGGGAAAGAGTCTCTGTTATAGTCCCCAAGAATCCTTACAGACAGGCTAGGGGGCAAGGGACACTGAGGCTGTGTATCTGGGGCCACAGGTAACCCAACGGGCTGAGTTGCAGAGCTGCAAGAGGCAAGAAGCCCTACCAGAAAGAAGTAGCCAACTGTTCTTCACCAGTTACGTCCTATGGGATGCAGGTAGACTGTGTTTGCACTGTGTGGCCCTAAGGATGTGCCTATCAGTAGGCAAGGCCTCCTGCGGGACCTTCTGCTCCCTTCCTCCTTTATACAGAAGCCCTTGCTCCTAAACCAGTCACCCACGTGGGATCATACCCAACTGGCCATGATGCCCACCCTCACCTTCCATTTGCTACAGTAGTCAAACCCACCAGGAGGTACAGAAACTCACCAGTAAAGGTAGTAGAAAGAGGAGAGGAGATAGAAGGCCAGCTTACACCAGGCCTCCTTCTGACAGTAACTCAAGGTGTCTGCGTTCATGACCACCGGGGGGTCGTAGGCTAGTTCGGAACTATCTGCTGGACAGTGGAAATACCTGCAGAGAAAGAGGGCATGGCATCATTGGCTCTGAGGCGTGGACGGCACCTGTGAAGTCATCCAGGCTAAACCCTCCTGATGCAGGATTTCTCTCTGGCAATTCCTGCCAAGCAGTTGTCTGCGTCCTGCCCAAATCACGGTGCACACACTGCTAAAGATCGGCTCAGCCACTATCTTCTAGCAGGCAGGAGGTCCCCAAATACTCAGGTCCACTGGCATCATGGTGATTTTGCCCACATACAAAGCTGCTCCAGGGCCGGCCCAGTGGCGCACTGCTACAGTGCGCCGCTTAGGAGTGCGGCGACGCTCCCGCCGAGGGTTCGGATCCCACATACAGACCGGTTCCCGCTCACTGGCTGAGCGAGGTGTGGGCATAACACTGAGGGTTGCGGTCCCGTTGCCGGTCCCGGTCTGGTACAGGCACACTGGCTGAGCGAGGTGTGGGCATAACACTGAGGGTTGCGGTCCCGTTGCCGGTCCCGGTCCGGTACAGGCACGACACTGAGGGTTGCGATCCGATGCCGGACACGAAAAAAAGACAAAAAGGAAAAAAAAAAAAAAAAAGCTGCTCCAAAAGAAGGAAAAGTGTGTCACCTGGCATTACCTGGAAGTACCAGGAAGACCTCCTTTCAGTATAGGCGTAGGCATGGCAGTGGTATACAGCTACATTACCACTGCCCGGATGCCACTATACCTACATCCCACTTAAAAATTAATTACTGTGGGGCCGGCCCGGTGGCGCACTGTATAGTGCGCCGCTTGGGAAGCGCGGCGGCGCTCCCGCCCGAGGGTTCGGATCCCACGTACAGACCGGTTCCCGCTCACTGGCTGGGCGAGGCGCGGGAGCGACGCCGAGGGTTGCAATCCCGTTGCCGGTCCCCGGTCCGGTACGGGGGCAACACTGAGGGTTGCGATCCGTTGCCGGACACGGAAAAAAGACAAAAAAAGACAAAAAAAAAAAAATTAATTACTGTGGATTAAGTATTAGCCTCTACCCTCACCTAAAATCCTAAATATTCTGGGAGGGACATCATATTCCCACTTGAGTGTGGAGCAGTTTACAGGTGTTTTTCTTAATAGAGGGACCTAGAACAGCAAAAAGAACATTGGCCATCTGTGCTGAAAGAGCAGCCTCAGAGGGAAGCTGGAAAAACAAAAGAACAGTGGGTGGGAGAGAGGAGGGAGGAAAAGCTAAAGTAAACCTTGTCTGCTTCAAAATACCACATCCACATGGGCTCCTTGAGAGCTGGCCACGGCCACTGATGAGAGGAGCACTTGGGTTTGCTGAGACCTGGAGCAGGAGCCTTTTGGTAAGTAGTCACTGCCCCCAGGGCCACAGCCACAGCCTTCTGCAGAGCCCAGGAACAAAGCTCAGCTGAAATCGCTCTGCAGGCTGCTTTTTAATCACTGTGGCAAAAGAACTGGGAGGCCAGGAGTGTAAATACATGGGTCTGGGACAAGCAGTGGTTCTCAATCATGAGCAAGGATCAGGAGAGTGGGCTAATGACCAGATTAATCACACCTCCTTTGAAAAATATCCCTGAAATGTTGCAACTCATGGAGCTGGCGTCTCAGGTCCCTCTTTGTCCCCTTCACAGAACTGTGTTGACATCATCTGTCACCATCACTGTGCTGAGAGGAAGCCACAAGTACAATTCAATGATGTCTGCCAGCTCATAGCCCTCAGCCCTCTCACTTCTCCTCTTCCCAGGAGATTTCAAAACGTCTTTGCTTTCGCTTTGTTCTCAGGCGACCTCATTAAGTGGAAGCAGAAGAGCAGGGTGGCCAAGTGGCTCAGTGGCAGGAGCCAGGGCTCTGCCTTCCTTATGCCAGTCAGTAACCTGTCTGAGCCTCAACTTTTTCACCTGTAAAATGGGGATGAAATTGCCTACCTCAAAGGGCTATTGTGACGACTATGTGAGATGATGATGCAAAGAACAGTCACTGAATAAATGGTGGGCAGAGCTATTTTCTTTTAAGCAACCTGAGAGCTAGAGCAGAAGGAGACCATCTGCAGGAGTAATGCCACTGTTGGAAAAGAGGGGGAGAGAAAAGGAAAAAAAAAAAGTTCAAGGCTGCTGATTTTAAAGGACTCCTCCCCTCCTCATTCTTTTTCACTTCCATGTTCTGTGTACTTACTAATCGCCAGGAACTAAGCTAGGTCCTGTCAGGGATTGAAAAAAGGAAGACAAGGTCCCTGCCAGCAAGGAGATTACAGCTGCTCCCTTCCTCTATAAATATTCCAAGTGTAAAGACACTGGCTGGCTTTCCCTTTCCTCCCTTTTAGACAAGTGCCAGCCATAAGAAGCAGTGTACGAATCAAAGTTTTGTAAACTAGCCACATTCTTGATACCCTGGACTGGCAGCCCACTACATAAAGACCTTGGGATAAACTCCTTGTATGAGGGGAGGAACCAGCCCCCTGGGGCACTGTGTGAGATGGCAAGGATGGACTGTGATTCATGCAGAGGTGGGGCAGGACCACGAACAAGATGAGAGATTCTGGACAGCTGACTTAACCTGTATGAGTCTGTGTCCCCATGTGTAAACCAGAGAAACTGAAACCACCTCGACCGGTTGTCGTGTATCCAGACAACATAAAGCATGGAAAGTCCCTGAGTGGAGACTCAATACATTTCAATGCTGTCTTTTTTTTTTTTTTTTTTTTTTTTTGTCTTTTTTCGTGACCGGCAACGAATCGCAACCC